CTGGAACAGAGAAGACGGAGGGTATATCATCGTGTATGGATATGTATATATAAGACTGAACTTTTTAAATGCTATCATGATGTATATATGTATATATATAATGTAAATGTTTTGAAATGTTGCAGTTATATATATATATATGTAAGACTGTGAAATTTATAACATATCTAAACAAAGACCTGGAACTGTAATTTGATAACTGTAAAGATAATGAAATTATCAGTGCTAAAAGACTGTGAGTGATGAAACAATCTGGAGAAGATTGTAATGATACACCGGAATTTAGGAGCTTGCAATAATGTCGAGATTAGACAGAAACACAACCAAGATCAAATACCATCAATAACACTGAAGGTATTTAGGAAAAGGGGGGAGATATGATATGAAGTTATGTGTAAGGTAACTTCTTTTGAAGTTGAGAAAGTGGGAAAAAAGCGGCTGGTCTATCTCTAAAGAATTAGCGGATTACAGTATTCAAATTCATTAGAAAATAATCGGAGTGAGAGGATATAGCAGCCGCCTTTTTAAGTTCTGCTGATATGAAGACTACAACACCTCTTTAGTTATGAAACGTTGTAATCTGATACACGGAAAACAGGTGAAAGATCAGAAAGAAAGGAACCAATTCGGCGTAGATTCAAGAAAGGGATATAAAAGACAGGAGTTCAACGAAAAAAAAAAAGGAAGACCGGGAGATGTGAGAGAAAACAAATAAAGTGAGAGAGGCAAATGAAGAAAGTGATATGTTGTCAGTAAAAAACCAAACCTACTTCTAAATCTATGTGTTATTTATTACCAGTAATAAACGGCTTTTTTATGTTTAGAATGTTGCGAGTCAATTCCTGATAGGAATAAGTAAAACATGAATAAAGTTGATGGACACAAGAAGGTAAGGTAAAGTGCGTGTATAACGCTATGATACAAATTAATACATAAAATAAACTCTTGAATAAAAATCTTTAATCAGACACAGTGATAAACCCTTCAATTTTAAAAACACAAGACAAAAATACTCTTTTATAATAAAAACATATAATACGTTTTAACAGAATTTCTATTCGAGCATAACAGACATTAGTTACTATAGAGAACAAAGAAACGAAGCAATTAGAACAAAGTAATATCAACAACTTTCTAGACCATGTATTTATGCTAAAACTTCATAGAAATTAAAGACGCGAAAACAATTTAAATTTCCTATATAACTAAAGCAGATAGAATACATATGTTATACCAGCATATCACATATTCATTGCTTGGAATTTCACTGAAAGTTGGACGGTTGTTGTTGTTGTGTTTTGGAGTTTCAAAGATCTTTGTAAATCCCATGATGCTTGTAATTTCCTTACGAATGAAACTTACGTTAGTTTGCCTGATACTGGTATATGTAAGAAGCTTCTGCTTATTCATTCTGTTGGGTTGGAAAAATGTTAAAGTATTTTTTGATAATAAAGGTATTATAAACTCTGTACATCATATCTTGCCAGTTGTGGTGTGTCTAAATAGTCGAAGTAATTCCAATAAGCGAGAGACGCTTCGTCGTCAAATGAATTTCTTCAGAATGTAATAAGATTCTTTCAACGCGTAATCTAGTTTCAAAGAAAACTAAAATTATTCACAGAAAGCTATTTCAGGTTGATACGTTTACAATTGAAAAGAGGGCCGTTATCTAAACCATCAAAAGGTAAAAAGAGTAGAAAGTCTATTGACGAGAAGAAATTTTGTTAGGCAACAATGCTGAAGTTTTTATTAGTAAGAATTTATGTGTAATAGAAGACGTAAACGATTTCTTAGACAGTGAATAGAAATGGACTTTATTACGTGTTACATTCATAAAATCGGGGGTCAAGCCATTACCTTTTGAACTCTCTAAGACTCAGAAGATTGTTATAACGGAGCTGAGGCTACATTTATATCTTTAGAAAATTCTGAACAAGGAAAACAAGAAATCGCTAGGACATTGCTAAACTTTAGTACAATTAGCTTTGATTGTTGTGACTTGGTATAAAACTTCGTAGAGTTAGGAAGACCGTGAATGAGTTTACTTTTTTATTTCACTTAGATAGAATGGTAATAAATGTAAGTTCAGTCTTTAGTTAGATGGATTTGAACTAAACCTTACCAGTCCTATGTGAACAATCTATAATGTAGGCTTATAGAGGGACTACACGTACAAATAACTGTTATTAAAATTGAATCTGCCATTGACTGTGTCATTTGTTTTAACTAAGGGTTGTACTTATGATTTGAAATGATGTGATAAACAGTCCAAAATAGCACATATTTGCTCACAACTGTACACGTATATGTATAGAGAATACAGACGAATATAAGCATGAAAACATCTGCGCGCGCACACGTCAAACTTCTCACAAATCTCAACTTGTGAAGTCAGAAACGTAAGTTAGGTTCTACCAGCGAACAATAATCTTTCTCAGATTGTACTCTTGTTATACATTTCCTGTTAGTTAGTATAATTTCTCATTTCTAGAGGTAGTGCCCGTAGTGATCAAACAAAAGATGGATCTTAAATGCTATCTTTACACACTTCTGATTTTGAATCCGAAATAAGGCAAATTGAGGGGAATGTGAAAACATTTTCACTTTAGTGATTTATATCTCAAATACACATCTAAACTTCGATTGGAAGTTCAGTTAAACAAACGAACACTTTGCGCTTAAACGTATATTACCAGCTTGTGATGAAAGCTTAAGTATAATCACGTAGAAACTCAACGCACTGAGTAATATTTCACGAAGCCAATCTGCCCATTACTAACTGGTCCACTGGAATTTAACGACCACGATTATCACGCCTTAGGTGAAGGCAGCTTGGGCAGCTGTGCCTTCACTACCGTATTGATTATTCCAGTAAATACAGCTTCACCTCGCACTGAACAGGAGGGTACGGTTCCTCGCCTCTTGAATCTTTCCACGTTAATAAGCACTGTCATCAAAAGGTATTTACTGCAAAATCGAATGTCAGCAGTTTTGAAAGACGGTTACTGAAGTCTTTGCCATGAAGTACAAAAGAAATTGTATTCGTGTTAGCATCGATTCTGTGTAATACATCTTAAGATACAGTAACAAACAAACCACAGTAACAATCAGTTTTTGTACATTAACTTTGCTTATCGAAGGAAAATAACAAAAGCAATCTTTTTTTTTTTGGTTTTGGTTTTTTATTTATCATATAAAACACACAGTATCACAGTATTTTTGAAATCGTTTTTGTTTAATGATTAAAAAATGAAAATGAATAAGAGTAAAATAATTCGCTCAAATAAAAACATTTTGTTGGGGATATATATTATTATTTATTTCCTTACCTTATTTCCTTATTAAACAGAACCATTCCTGAAAGTCATATAAAAAGTCTGAAATTAAATAAATTACTTCTTTAAAAGTCTTAATGCTTTGGCAATTTTGACGTTTTACCACTGTTTTGTGTTGTATACAATATAATTATGACAGTGAAATATTGTTGAAATTATTCAATTTACATAAATACGTTAGAGTAATGCTGTCGAAAAAAATATAATTATCTCAGTAATATATATATATATACATAGATAATAAACAAGATAATTATATGTGTTGGCGATTGTTTGTTTGTTTGGTAATTTGCACAAAGCTACACAAGGGCTATTTGCTCTAGCCATCCATAATTGTTGACTGATAGTTAAAAAGAAAGGTAGCTAGTTAACAACACCCACCACCAACTCTTGAACTACTCTTACGTAAACATATAACAGGATTTTGTCGTAACTCGTATAGCATACCCACGGCCACAGAATGTGGAACTAGATTTTTTGCGGCAACGGGACTCTAACCATGGACTGTTGGAATCATAGTCCGGCACGCTAATTACTAATCATGTCCTCATTTTGGGTGAAATACCATAATTATTTTTATGATACTATGTAAAAAAATGTAATTATATTATAGGTACATAACTGAAAAGCATTATAGTGTTAATGATACATTATTGTAATTATTGTTTTTTGTTGGAACGGCATAGTTATCTTAATAGTAGATTATTGGCAGTATATAATTATATAAATGTTAAAATACAAGAATCGACATTCTTTGACAGAGTACTCCCTAGTGGCTCGGTAAGTCTGAGGGCTTATAACGCTAAAAATCAGATTCCGATAACTGTAGTGGGCACAGTGCAGGTAGCCCAATTCTTTAGCTTAGCGCTTAACAACAAATGAGCAAGGAAATCTTAGACATAACTATAACTACATTAGGTGTTTAATGTGTTACATTCAGCAGAGGTGATTAGGGCGCTCGACTCGCATTCTGCGGGTCGCGGGTTCGAATCCCCGTCACACCAAACATGCTCGCCCTTTCAGCCGTGGGAACGTTATATGTGACGGTCAATCCTACTGTTCGTTGGTAAAAGAGTTTCCCAAGAGTTGGCGGATGGTGGTGATGACTAGCTGCCTTCCCTTTAGTCTTACACTGCTAAATTAGAGACGGCTAGCGCAGATAGCCCTCGTGTAGCTTTGCGCGAAATTCAAGACAAACAAACTTTCAGGAGAAAATGAGATTAATAGATTAAAGGCATTCAATAAATTAGTTACTAAACTAAACAGAAAGTGCCTAACTTGAACTTCTTACATATTTATACAAAATACATCAAACACGTTATCAATTAGTTCTTTCTTCAGTGTTTTATTACTACTTACGAGAATAACTCAATAACTTTATTACATTATGACTAATCAAATGTAAAGGGATTTGTTGCCATGACATCACGCTTAGTCATCGCTACTCTGTGCAAAATACATGCTACAGAAACTATGTTGAATTGCACGTGTCTTGTGCACACGTGATCCCACCTGCACGAGAAGAGAGCCAGGGAGTCTGTCGATATACCCGGTAGCTAAAATCGACTTAGCCGAACCTGACTCACTTGCATCGCTCTGGCAGACAATAAATCTCTGATATAAAAACCGCGCTTTCGGAAACTACGCGTAAAGCTCGGACGCGTACTGGACGCGTATGTGCGTAAGAGAAATAACTAGACATTGTTGTTTCAGATTTTGGTTACATGTTCTCAGTCTCTGCTCTTTGCTAAGTTCTTTAGATGATCAGGATAATTGTGAAGTACAAATCAAGTATCTATACTCAACCAATCTCGTTACAGAATAGGTAAGTTTTATAAACTAAGCATTGTTTGATTGTAACAGCATTCACGAATCTGTTACACTTTATTTATTAACATAAATGAAATACAATCAACAGAAGATACTTTTAGGTGCCATTATTTCCTTAAAATGATGAAAGTCTTTAATTTCGTAAAGGAAATAAAATAGTATTTTTGAATATTTTAAATAAAAAACAACTATCAATGCACTAAAAAGTGTAAAAATTAAGCCCTACATATTGATATCAAACCTGTGATGAATTCAGGCTTTGTTTGAATTTCTTATACACTGCATGTTGTCTGTTGCCTATGTCTATGAATCTTATAAAGTAATCAACCTTTTAATTTTTAGATAGATGATTTAGTGTTGAATTTTGAAAATTTCAATAAACTTATAGTATACGTGCTTTATAGATTCGTTGAAAATAATAATTATACCATTATAAAATATATAATATATTTTCCATCAATATTGCAAAAATTTGTTTTTATTCGAGTTATTTATCACATTTATGTTCAGTTTAACCGACCATGATGTAATACTGTCTTCCTAGCATAACAGAACTGTTACTAACTAAAAATATATACAGGGGCTGTTGTGATTAGTCGTTTATTCAATATATCAAATATATATAAGATAAGAAATGCGAACACATAAAAGTACAAGAAACTCGATAAACAAGCCCTTTTGAAACAACAAAGACTATCTTTTGCTAAACAGCAGAATATGGTGGTTAGTCTATGACAGTGTGGAAATACATTTTGTTCTAGGAGTCGAAGATGTTGTCAAAATTTAGGATATTATAATGAAAAATATTATGACGATATTCGTTCATCACGAAATGCTCAGTGAACGAATTTTAATTGGTTTTGACTTTGAAACTCAACAGGATAAGGCCTTATTGTTTCACTGAATGGAGGAGACGGTGATATAAAAGTTATGAAATGTCCAACTCAAAGTCGCATTACTAATCAAATTTATCATTTTTTGAGCCAGTTAAGAATTAATGCTTCAAGAAGAAAAGTCAACTCATCTACGACAATTTTTGGAGATAATTCAGTAAAAATGAAAGAAAATAGCGGTTGATAGTCTAAAAAAAAAAAACAACAACCGGTGACGTTCATGACTGATCAAGAAGTCATATTGCTAAGACAAGAAAAGGAGCCAGTTAAAAATTAATTATTCAATGATATTCTGAAATGAATTTGTTAAAAATGTAATATTGAGTATAAAGATAACATGTTTGAGTGATTTTAGTTAATCAATATAACTCATTATAACTATGGTATATACTATGGTGCTATACTTTTGTTATAAATAACCATCGTCATTCATGTAATGTTAAAAGTTTGAATGTATTTGATCAATTATCTAAACATGATGCATTACCAGTTGGAAGCTTGTATTTTAGATATGTATGCAAAAGCCTTAAAGCTTTACTTTGTTAGTTATGTTATTGATTGAAGCTCAATATTCAGTATACTGGTTTACAAAAAAGCATGTAGGTTTTCAAGTTATCAGAGAAAACTTTGAAGTATTGCTTTTGAGGTCTTGATTTTAATTGTGGGTGTTTAAATGGTAAAACGCTCACAGTTATGAAGCGCCTTACTGAAGTCACTCTACCATTTGTTCTTGATACCTTTGTTTGTTTGTTTGTTTTTGAGTTTCGTGCAAAGCTACACGAGGTCTATCTGCGCTAGCCGTCCATAATTTAGCAGTTTAAGACTAGAAGGAAGGCAGCTAGTTATCACCACCCACCGCCAACTCTTGGGCTACTCTTTTACCAACGAATAGTGGGATTGACGGTCACATTATAACATCCCCACGGCTGAAAGAGCGAGCATGTTTGGTGTGACGGGGATTCGAACCCGCGACCTGCAGATTGCGAGGTCAAGCGCCCCTAACCACCTGGCCATGCCAGGCTCTTGATACCTTAATTTTTAAGACCCGCGGCCACGGAAAAGTAGGATATTTTCCTAAAAATTTTGGCCGAAACAAAATTATGAAACATATAATCGAAAACGCGCATAAAGCGTAATAGTAATTATAAGTAAACAGTTAAGCTGCATTAGTTGAGCTGATTTCAACACTACTTTCATATTTTCAATCGGATACCAGGAAGCATGGAAACAATAGTATCTGGCACAAAACAACGAAAGGAACATGCCATATTTGCCATGTTTGCCGTCTTTGTAATCCATTACCCTCATGCACTGCACCTACGATGTATATTAACTAAAATAGAAAGCGTAAAAGAAATCAGTTATCAAAATAGTAATAATAATAAAAAAGCGCGGCCATATCAGGGTCGAATTTTTCGCGGCGCCGGGTCTTAAAACAAAAATGAGACAGACAGTGGGATGTTGTTATGTTCTTAATGCAAAGTTACACAAAGGGTAACTTGTACTCTATCCACAGCGAAGAATCAAATCCCGGATTTTAGCGTTGTAAGTCTGTAAGTTTACCGTGGACCTAACACGTGGGAGAGGACAACAGTGAGATACGCGAGAATATTAAAATATACAAAGATATCACTGATATAATCTATCACTTAATATTAAAAATATATATATATATAATTGTACATGTAAGTATTAATCTATAAAAACAATCAAAGAATAATAAAATAATTACAAAAAGTAAAAAACCAAACATTCAGTTAAACTTACATAAAACCGTAAAGCTTATTCGACTCTCCATAAGTTACGAACCAGTCACAACGTGTGTCTTGGTATAGTGTAAAGAACCTTTGTCGATTACTTAACATGAATTAAAAGAAGACGTAAATCGATTACAAAATAAATTTGAAATCTTAATTTGCTTTGTTTATCCATACATGGCAAAAATTATTAAATATAAAATAATTTCTGTAATCTTTCAAAATGAGTGAAATGTCTACTATGTAAATGAGAACTGAATGATGAGGGTTGTTGATGATGTTCAGTTTTCGCCCAAAACTGCACGAGGCTAGGGCTACCTACGCTAGCCATCTCTAATTTTAAGGTGCTAGACTAGAGAGAAGGCAATTAGCAAACACAGTCAAATCTTATGCTACTTTTCAGTAACGACTAGTGAAATTGGCTGTCACATTATAACATCCCCACGTCTAAGAGCGAGAATTTTCAGCAATAGGTTGCGATCTCGCGACCCGTAGATTGTGAGTCCAGCGTTCTTGTCATCAGATCATGCTTGGTTTAAATGATGAGTGACTAATATACAAATTTTAAAAATAGTATTTATAATAGTCAACTTATAACGTTAACTATTTAATTTCGTTTAAATAAACACTAATTAAAAATTACAAAAGACAATGCATAAGCTTGGTATTTATTGTTCAACATGAGTCCGGCATACACTAAGAGTTGGTTGACCAGACTGTGGATAGGAAGGATCAAGGTTCGAGCAGCACTTTTAAGCGTTGCAGGTATAATGGACGTCGGTTGCTGTTTAATGGTTTTTCCCTTCTTCTGTTCAGCAGTTTTAAACGTTGCAGGTATAATGGACGTCGGTTGTTGTTTAATGGTTTTTTTCCCTTCTTCTGTTCAGCAGTTTTAAATTACGGATATCTCTTCGTGGACCTCACTGAAAACAAAATTATGTTAACTATATTCTTCATGTTGTTTAAACATAATAACCTATATAAATTAGTTGGTTGACATAATTATCAATACATTCTGTAGTTTAGAGTATCGTTCAAGCCGTTACGGAATTACAAGTAAGTTTTCTTTGGTAGAAGAAGATAGTTGTTGCCCGTTGAAACACTTGCTTTTTTTTTTTACTTTGCTTGAAATTCGTGATATCGGTTTCTTTTCTGTAGTTCTAGAAAAATCCCATACTAATATTTGTTTTTCTTTTACATTAAAAAGAGAATATATCCTTAGCGCTCCTATCATCACCTACTTACACTCATATATAACACAAAAAAATATATATACAGTGTTATTGTTTTTTCAGCTTTAAAGTCCTGAAGCAGGGAATGTAAGTCGATTTGCTGTATGATCATCTGAATTAATTGACAAATGTCTATGGGCTTAAGTGGGATGATATTGACAGCTGCAATGAAATATGATCACTAGGGCCACGAATATTTATTTTCGGTATTTCTTCATGGGAGGAAGAAAACCATTTATCTGCGACGCCTGAAGCTGTGAACGGAATTACCACTTTAGCATGATAGGGAGTATACGATGTAGATAGATAGGTACATTTTAAAACTTTTTATTAAGAACAACCAAACTAGTTTTTACAAGTTTGACATACCAGAACCAGTTAGTAAAACAAGGACAAACATATTCTTCATTACATTATATATATATATATCTATATATATATATATATATAGACGACTCTTATCCCCACACTAAGTAATATCTATAAATAAATGTTATAATATCATATATATTTAAAATGGACGGAAGATGGTGTGTGTATTTTTATTGTTGTTGTTGTTTTTACAAATTAAAGTCAAGATTTCTTTTATACATGATTGGCAACCTCAAACAGATAATAGCAAAATGTTAGATGGATTGTTTTAGATACTTTTGTTAAAGATGTTGAAAGAACGAAACTTTAAAGGCTTTGATGACTGGACGTAAAACTGCAGAGTTTATATTCAGTTTAATAAAAGAAAATTCATCAAACTGGTCAATCGATAAAATAACACAAAACTTGACAAATTCATAACCAGACATATGAATAGACAGCAACGTACAAATACAGAAAAATCGAATGATAGGCTGATATATATATATAAAGGTAAGTGAGGGATAAGGGATAAAGATACATGGAAAATTAGTTTTTGGATAAATCAGATAGATCAAACAATGAGTGCTGACAAAATAGTTTAAGAAGGAAAAAAACCTGGTAAATGACTTGTCATTTAACAGATTGAATAACAAGAGAGGAACTTATATCTAAGAAAAGTGAAGCCACAACGTTCATCTCTTAGATTTCTGTATCTTGTAATGAAGAATCCGATTGCTGCTTTTTTTGCTGTAGCCGCAC